CAAACAATGCACAGTCGTCAGCCAACAGCAGCATACGAATAGTTGTCTCACAGACTAGGGTTCTCGCACTGAAACGACGGATGTTCAGAAACCTACCATCAATATGGTTCTCCACACGAACACCCTAAGCGCGAGCGTTATCAGAAGCACAAGACATCATTGGATATAGATAAATATCAAACAGGGCAGGAGCCTTGCTTCACACCTGAGAGAACTGCACAGTCATCCGAGGTCAGTCCACTCAGCTGTACCCTCGCCCGCATACCACTGTGCTACATTCAATTAAACTTACAAACTTACTCGGACAACCAAACTTACCCAACACTAGCCATAATGTTTCGTGGTTCACCGTATCAAATGCTTTAGTGAAATCACCAAACAGTGAGTACATCGGCTGGTGTCGTTCTTTACACTACTCCTTCAGCTGACGAGCCGCAGACACCATATCTATGGTGCTGCGACCCGAACGAAATCCACATTGTTCTTCCGTCACTTTCGGTTCCACATCCTGACTGACGAGGCGGTTGAGCAGGATTTGGGCAAACACCTTGCCCACATAACTCCGCAAGTGTATGCCACGATAATTCGTGCAACATTGCTTGCTTCCTTTGCCTTTGTACATTGGTAGCACATTGACATTCTTCAGCTCAAGAGGCACCTCCTCCTCAATCCATACACGTTGCACCAAGTGGTGCAGCGTAGTCACCAACGCAAATCTGCCGTGTTTTAATACTTTGGGCAGGATCCCGTCGGCACCTCCACATTTGCCGTTTTGCAGCTGAGCAAGTGCTCTCTGCGTCTCATCCAGTGTCGGTGTGTCCGCCACACTCGCTTTCACATAGTGCTACTTCAGGCCGTTCAAAGTAGGCCACTCAATCACAGAACCGTTGTTCATAGGGAGAGTCAGTTTTTTCCCCATCTGCATTATATATGCAGTCTGTGTGCAGGTAGCGCCTGAGCTAACATCGATTAGCGTCCTCAGCGGCTCCAACCTCGGTCCATTCAACGCCATCAATGAATCACGGTGTTTCTTTTGTTGACGGCGTTCGGCGTAACGTTCCATCCGTTTCGCCTTCTCCGTCCATCATGCTCTTTTATGCGAAGGGGCTCTCGGATAAGTCGCCGTCGAACTTTGCGAAACTGACTCTTCTTCCTCAAGTCACTGGGGTCTGCCACATGTGCAGTAAATGCCGCATCCTTCTCCGACACCAATGCGCTAATCGTCACCAATCAGGCCGCTTACAGTTTGCGCGCCTGTTAGTTTCCTCGGCAGCAGCTGTCACGTGGTCGCGAATGTGGTGCCACAGGTCGCCCACTGTGGCTATGTAGCCCACGTCACACAGGCGTGCAGCCATCGCCTTCTCCAGCTCAGTACGTTTCTCCACGGTACCGAGGGGGAGAATGTTACGTTTACTCCAGTTCACGGGAGGCACACGGCACGTACTTTTCCGCACGTAGATGTACAATTTTTTCCTACCAATTTGTGGTCAGTGTCACACTCAGCTCTACGCAGTACACGAGTCATGCGCACTTCGCGCATACCACGCTGAGGTATAATGACAGTCGAGCAGATGAGCGTAGCCGCTCCGTTTGTGCGTCCAAGTTGCTATATCACTCGCACTCAGTGCAACCCGAGGCTCGCCACGAGGAGACGTCCGGTACCTAAGCCCACAGCACAGCGTTAGCAGTAGCGAGTTGACGGTCTGTCAGGATCTCGCCTTCACAAGCTTCATCGCACCATGGACTCCCCTCGTGATATATATATATATATATATATATATATATATATATATACCCCATGCTGAGGCTGATGTTGCATTCTTGATGCTTCTTCATCGCAGTTGGGCTAAACCAACTTACACTTAAACTAGGTCTTTTTAAGCTGGCTAAATTTCATTCCGCTTTATTTGGTTTGTTCTGCCTCCCTGAATAATGTGCTATTAACTGGCCACGTTGCTTACACTAATTGCGCTTATCTTCGGTAATTTTGTTGCGTTTGTAGCATTTTAAGTAACTTGTGGACATTTCTTACTTATCACGGATTTGTTGCTAACCAACTTACTTCATATGGTAATTTAGCGAAGAGTTATGCCACCGTATCTGTATGCATTATTTGATTTATTTTATTTCAGCTTGTCGTTTAAAGTGAATGGCTGTTGTTTGATATCCCTGGTATGGTTGCGCTTGATGTGTATGTTGACAAGGTGCCTACCTGTCTATTACCCACTACATCGTTCATACTGGCTCCAGGAGACGGTTGGTCGTTGCTGGAGGGGACGGGGTGCACGGTTCTTGTGGCCGTGCTAGGCTCAAAGAGCGGTTCCATGCACTCCGTGTGGAGCGGACTACGGTCCAGCCACCGCCTTGTGTGCGGTTGATTCCCCAAATACAGCGTGCTTGTGTTTGCCTGTGAAGGAGTGTGGGCCTGCTCCGTTGATGAAACGTGGTTCCCATCCGCATGCCTCTCGGTCTTATTCCTTCGGTTTTACACTGGACATGGGGTGTGTGGTTAGAGCTGTGGGTGGTGCAGCGCAAGCCATCCATGGGCTCTCTGTAGGCGCAGGCGTCCTGTGGCTTGCCACAGTGACAGGCAAATCCGAAACCGGATGCCGCCAACCATGTATGTATGTGTGCCCGATGCTGAGGCTGATGTTGCATTCTTGATGCTTCTTCAGCGCAGTTGGGCTAAACCAACTTACACTTAAACTAGGTCTTTTTAAGCTGGCTAAATTTCATTCCGCTTTATTTGGTTTGTTCTGCCTCCCTGAATAATCTTCTATTAACTGGCCACGTTGCTTACACTAATTGCGCTTAGCTTCGGTAATTTGTTGCGTTTGTCGCATTTTATGTAACTTGTGGACAATTTTTACTTATCGCGATTTTGTTGCTAACCAACTTACTTCATATGCTAATTTAGCGAAGAGTTATGCCACCGTATCTGTATGCATTATTTGATTTATTTTATTTCAGCTTGTCGTTTAAAGTGAATGGCTGTTGTTTGATATCCCTGGTATGGTTGCGCTTGATGTGTATGTTGACAAGGTGCCTACCTGTCTATTACCCACTACATCGTTCATACTGGCTCCAGGAGACGGTTGGTCGTTGCTGGAGGGGACGGGGTGCACGGTTCTTGTGGCCGTGCTAGGCTCAAAGAGCGGTTCCATGCACTCCGTGTGGAGCGGACTACGGTCCAGCCACCACAACGCGAGACATTATTTGGAAAGTATGAATAGGGTGTAGTTCGATCTCATTGAGATATGCCGCATTTTAGGTCTCGGTGACCTCCATGCTGCAATTGTTACACCGCTTTCGAACGCGCCACAACACATTCGGACGTTGGTACAAGGCTTTGGTGCCGGATTTGGTACGCGTTCTCACCTGTGCTTCAAACGGAGTGGTAAATGTTCGGAACAGACAGACCGTCAAAACCACCTGTAGAAACCAATTCTGTGCAGCTTTTCGATACACTGCTGGATTTACGTGTTTCTACTTCTCGATTTGCCAAGCGATGACTTGGTCGAGAATGAAAACCCTCACTTCGAAGTAAGCGTCGGTTGGTGCATCCTGACTGCCTGGCTGGGGTCCTAAGGACGGTGACCACGTTTAGTTGCACACACTTGCTGATATGGCTTGGAGCCGGCCCCAATGGCTTTTGTGTTGTGAGTCCCTTTGTCCATTCCCCTCCTACTTAGCATCCCCCTTCAATCACGATCTCACTTCTTAGGCATAATATGACTTTTTACGGCACGGTAGTCAGCTGTTAGCTCTCCGGAGCCATGTCCATCCGTTACTCCGCCGGGGTACCACTGTTTGTTTTCCTTTTCTTGTCTTTTGCATTGCAGCAGAATAGCTGAGGTGTTTTCCGCCTGCATCTAACGTGTATAATGATAATGATGATGATAACTTCTCGATTCAGAGAACGATTGCACACTGACAGTGACATCTCACATTTGTGTCTGGCGCTTCTAAATGTTACCTGCGTGATTGCAGTACTAACAGCCGATCGATACTTGTTTAACAGTTTTTCTTGTATGGATTTAAACTTTCACTTGCGCTTGCCGCCACGGTAGTGTTTTTATTCCTTTTTAGCACAGTCATTTTATGTTTGTTGCGGTTGTATGGCAGTTAAACGGCTGTGCTGCTGCTGCAACAGCAGTCATTATGCTTCATACACCGAACACGAATTCGAACCGACTAATGACGACATAACCATCAGTGGCTTAGTTCGGCTGATCTCAACTCCTGTCGTTTGTGCCGCGCTTCATTGCTCCGACTGGTTTCCGGTACTCTACCGGTCTTCGTTTCGTCTATTCGTGGTGCCGTGTACGGCGCGCACATCTGCATGGCGGCTTTTTAACCGGTTCCAACTTTGTTTCGTATCTTTTAGTCCATTTTCACCTCTTTGCCTTTGTGTTTCGGAAAACCTGACTATGTGCTACGTGTTTCGTAGTTATTTTTTGTTCATTTTCGCTGATAATTGACCTCACGAGACATACTGACATGTTCTGTGGCGGCCCGTCTGAAATCAAACACGGCGTCACATTCACAAATTCAAACAACACAACTGCGTCCCGCTACTTTATCTCATTTGACTTCTTAATTACTATTGAACTTGCCTTGTATACTGATTCATGTACATGGTCCCTCTACAATGAAGAGTACGTTTAGCGCGTTCAGTAGAAATTGTTGTTCAGACCTTAGTCACCTTTTGAGGAGCCTTAACTCTTATTGTTGACATTTTTATGCACTAGGCGTCCTTTTTCCTTTACCACGCGAAGCTAGCGGACTTCGCGTTTCGGAGCAGTACGTGGGATTTTGACATTATCGTTTCGCTCTAGTGTTTTTTTTTGCTACTTTCACCTTCATTCGGAGTGGGGTTTTCATGAGTTTCACTTAAACTTTCACCACAGTTTTTGAGTATTCTGACTTACGCTGTCCTCCTCCGTTGCATCTATTCTAACTGTATTCCCCTTTGTACGCGTTGCATTCCCCAACCATAGAGTTTACGATAAGTGAGTTTACGTTGTCACAGCTAACATCTTGTACGCTTCGGTACTCACTGCGGTTTTTTGTCCGTGTCTACACTGTGTACTCTTTGCGTACACATACAACTTTTTCCATTGTGCCGTTCTTTTTGAGTCACTCTTACATCCGGTGCTAGTCATAGATTCAACTTGTTGTTCGCATGCATCTGCTTTTAGCACTCATGCTGGTTGCACCGTGTACTCTACTGGCTGTTACTCATCTCTAGCGCCGGTTCGGTGGCTTGTGTTTTTCCACTTGTCTCCTGCACATATCGAATTAATTTACTAGCTGTTCGACTCTGTGTATTGGGGCTTTCAGTCGTAGCTTTGAGGACTTTTGCATATTTTAACGATTATTCAGACGTTCTTGAGACCACCACTTTAGGCGATCTCGAGCCAGCAACAGGACAAATGTACTTCTGTCACTAGGGGGTTGGTTTGCCGAACTGTCTGCGCGTGGTGCCAGCTGGCTGGTTCGGTGTGTACCCCGTTCCAGCAAAGTGTTCGGCGACAGTGTTCTACCTCATTGGGGCATTGTATTCCAGCCATTGTGCTGATTTCATGGAGTATTGGGTCCCTGTTTGATGATCTAGCAAGCAAACTCGCTTGAACTGAACATTCAGTCAGCGCCTCCCAATGGGCGCAATTCCCTAAATTCGTCCTGCTGCCTTACAGGTAGGTTATTTAGCCAAACGCTCGGGATGGAGTCCCCTTAAGTCAACTCACTACTTCGGCTTTGGCAACCGGGTAGTATCACGCCCTCTCAAAAAACCATGGACTGTACTACAATGTGCTCATCAGCTACTGTTTCTACGCGAATTCATCACACGCTAATTGTTTGTTTGCTAACAGTTCTCACTTTCCGTTACCCGATTCATGTGTTCAACAATCTGGCTGCCATTCCGGTTGCGCCTCGGACCACGGAGTTCAACCTATGGTTCTCCTTCTTCCTCGTTCCTTCTGGCATACTTCAACGTTCGGGCACTGATGCAGATTAGACAGGAAGCCGGTCTAGCGCGCACCCTAGAGTCCCAAAACATTTGATGTCTGCTGCCTTTCAGAAACCTGATTGCAAGATCGCAGCACTGTGCTTACATTGACACCCCCTCACTGACTACGAAGGCAGATATCACCTGCGTCTTTTTGGAGATCCAGAAGCAGCTTTAGCGGGTTTGGCTGGTGCAGGTATAGCACTAAGTGACAAGGTCGAGGCGGCACTACTGGACTGGTTCCCGATTAACAGCCGACTATGTGCAGTTCGACTTCGGGGCTAATGTAGAATCAACAAGCACCGCGAAGAGAGATACAACTTCTTTATGATCTCCGTGTACGCTCTAACTGACTTTAGTGGCGACTCGGTCAAGGACGAATTCTACCGGGATCTACATCAGCTCTTGACTAATGCTAATATGTCGGATGTCGTTGTCCTTGCTGGGGATTTTAATGCACGGGTTGGCCGCCTGTTACCATACGAACGCCACCTTGGTGGTCATCACGCGCTCGATGAGAACCGCTCTGATAACGGAGAGAGGCTTCTCACATTGTGCGAAGACAACCGTCTGTTTCTCTCGAGCACTAACTTCAGGCGTACGAAGAAGCGTTCCGCAACGTGGCGTCCCCTTCGCCAACACAACCGTGGTCTCAAATTGATCACATTGCAATTAGCTTCAGATGGCGCGGCAGCGTACTGGACTGCAGGTCCTTTTGGTCCACCTTCGTTGACTCAGATCATGCTCTGGTCTGCGCGAAAATCTGTATGTGTTTTGGGGGTCCCGAAACACGAAGCACCGCAAGATTGATGTAAACAGATTAACTGATTCCTCTGTCCAGGCGAGCTATCAGTCTTCACTGGCATATGCACTCAGTTGCAATCCACCGCAAGACGTGGAGCAACACTGGACTTGTATACGGAAAGCGATGACCATTTCCGGACAAACAAACTGCAAACTAATTCGACGGCCCCTAAATGCTCGGATCTCTGCTCGTTCTCTGGAGCTGTTCGGACGCCGCAAAGATATCCCGGCGGAAGCAGATTGCAACAAGTGGTACCCGTTCTGCTAACCGACTGCTCAAGCAAAACC